CTGATTTAGAAGAGGTGAACAAAGTGTTTTTCATAGTTTATTTCTACAAAGAAATCCAAAATGGCATTTGTGTCCATGATCCAGTACTGCTCTTGATTAGATCATGGCTGCTAGTGTGGGATGGCTAGATATTGTTGGTTAAAGACTAGTTTCTGCAACTCACCTCCGTATATGATTTGGGTACACGTTGTTTGGCCCATAGCAGATTTATTGAGCTGATGCAGATAGCAATACCCGTATATGAGAATAGCACTCCGGTGAGCAAAATGAATCCAAGTAAATAACTGCACTTATGTAGAGAGATAATTATCAAATGTTTCTAACACATTTGTGCCTTCAAATTTGGCAAATACGCTTCTATCACTTGCATCTGTAGTCTCTGGTAATACAACCAACCTTGCCTGTTCAGACAGCTTGGTCTGTCTGTGTTCAATAGTAACATCGGGTTCAGAGTTCATCTCAGACTAAAAGGTCAAGAAAAAGGTCACAGGACCATGAGCGCAGCCTTGCACCTGTTCACAGGGGGCCTACTTTAGCCAGGCAGATGCTTCCCAGATGTTCTAGTAACCAACTGTATTCCTTTCTTCTATGCTGTTTAGAACTTCACTCCTCAGACATACTTCACCATACATGGACAAATGTGATTCTTTGGAGAGAGAGGTACAACTCTTTTGATTCACAGCATTGTAAAGAAACAATTTACACCTGGTTAGCCTAAGATGAAGAATTTAAAATATTTTTGGGTTCACTTAACAGTCCCCAAGCCCCCCCCCCCCCCCCCAGTGGTTTGTGCTGGGGGTTTTTGACTAGAGGGATAAATGTCAGCACTGAAATGTAGTCCCGGCTGCACAGCTGAGCCTGCACTCTGCAGATAGCTGTTCCCTTGTTGCCACTTACAAGAGCATGTGGAATATGAAAACCATATTTTCAAATGGAAGCATCTGGAAAAAGAACAAGACCCACTCATTTAGGTTTTACCAGCAGTTCATTTTTTTTCTTCATTGGTATTCTCCAGTAGTCCTCCCATTTTAAAGATTTTGCTCACCTGAAATATGGTATTTGAACACACATTCGGTATCTAAAACGTCTGCTGGCTGTTTCTGTTTTTGTTGAAAGCAAGTAGGCTACACAATGAAATTTTGTGTATTGTACTTGAACAATCAAAGAGAAAAAAACAGAGGAAAAAAAAAGATTTACATTAAAATGAAAAAGGGAAATAAGTGGCAATAAATTACCGGTACATAATTTTGTGTTCAAAAGGCTTCTGTTATGTCACAGCTCCGAAAATACCCAAAGACGAGAGGGCGCGAGATTCAAATTGTATCTCGTGATTAAACTGCTGTCGATCAACAATCTAATCACTGTTTAATGACAGTCATGCATTGTAAAAGGGTTCAAGATATCTCAAGAAAAACTGCTCAATATTTGGTCTCTGACCTTTAAGGACAAAAACACAGACCATCAACACTTTAGCAACACCGAAAATGCAATCCAGTATGAGCTGGCCAGCACAAATAACTAGCATGAATGCCTGTTTACTCTGAGTTCATGCTGCATAAAACCAGGTGTTTGTGTTGGATGTAGAACGGGTGGGAAGCAAATTGTACTGGAGGAGGAAAGAGTAAAGTTATTCAGGCATTGCAATATCAGCATGAATTTCACCATAAACTCCAAACTTAGCGTTTAAAAAAAAAAACGGCTGTGTGATTGTAAGAAAGCAAAAACAAATCAGGAAAAAAAACCCCAACAATAACAAATGATCATTCTCCTTTTTAGAGGAGATTGTGTCGGTGCTAAATTGGAAGCTGGCATATCGTTGCTTGTGTCAATCATCTTTAAATTCGGAGCCTGATGGAGACCACTTGGGTTGGACATCTTTGAACATCCTCCAATTGCGTTCATGTATTTGCTCTTCTCCTCTAGAGTGTTTTGCACTCATCACCATTACTGCATTGATTTTGGCTCCTCCTCCTTTTGGGTATTTTTACTCTTGCAGAGCAGACTTTCAACACCTGACTGACAGGGGACGTGACAGTTTGTCTGAAGTTATGACTCACTTCACTGCGCACGTATGTGTTTAGAGGTACAATGTGGCTGATCTTAGTGGCAGACATGCTTTGAAAATGGTTGTCAGTCACTTATGAAATTTGACATACAATGGAATTTCCAAGGGTTCTACAAAAAAGGCCCGCATGTTTACACACAATTACACAGAGAACACTGCACAATTACCACAGTAAGGCTCATATTCTTGGGTCACACCGTGACCACATGGACATGCAGATGAGCGTAGAACTGCCAATGTTGTTTTGGTGAAAGCTGCACTTTGTCCAACAATGGAGAGAAGAATCTTCCTCTCCCACTGACATGCTTTTGACAGCCAGCCAAGTGTTTTTTGCATTAATGAGCCACGGAATATTACATTAATGTACCGGAATTTATCATTTTCAGAAGAAGGGTTGCTCCAGAGCTGCCAACTGTTACGGAGAGGGCTTGTGTTGTGGTTGTTTGGTGGGTAATCACTGAACGCCAACCCACTACGTATTTAACACTTATGATTTTTTGCAAACATACTGGGTTACATATTTCTCAAACAGGTTGAAAACAAGAAAGAAGAGTTCATAGGTATTTGCGATTTATCTTTGACAGCACAACAATTGCAGACGTGGTGTCGTTGTATGAGTGGGCTCCAGTGCTGTGGTGTGCAGCGGGATCTTGCATAAGAGTCCAATGTTAGCCAAAAGCTAATGATTTGAGACTAAGATCACCGCTAACCTTATATATGTATGTGTGTATGGATAGATAGATACATATGTATCCAGGGTGCCCCCCCCCCAAAAAAAATATATACCTTTTAGCAACTGATAACTGAATTGTTTGTTTTTTCTTTGCACATTGTGCCAAATGATGGCAGCCAATATTTTCAGCAAGATCGGACACCCCTACACTGCCGTTGCAATGTTAGATCCTTCCTTGATGAGATCTTGCCAAACAGGTGGATTGGATGGAGGGGTTTTATTGTATACCCTCCACGTTCACCAGACCTCACATTACCCGCCTTCTTTTGATGGAGAAAATAAGAATAAGAATAAAAATAAGGAAACCTTTATTCGTCTCACAATGGAGAAATTCCCAATTTACAGCAGCAAAGTTATGAAAGGAAGAAAGTAGAAGAACAAAAAGTATAGGAGGTGCTGTAAAGGCAGCCACTCTCGCGGCGCCATCTTGAAGTCATAACAACATAATAACAAAATAATACAACACAACACATAAGACACAGAAAGCCATTCAATCTTAACCACTTTTCTGCATACTCTTTGTTGTTTGAAGCAGTTATAGATGAAATAGATACATGAAAGAAAAAGTCCACACAATGAAACAGTGACTGAAGTGGGAGCAACTATTGAACACAAATGCACACAAATTACCAAGGCAATTCTTTCATAACTTTGTGATGTTGGCAGTGTCTGGACCAGAACAGACATCTGTGAGAACAGCTGGTGACAAAGCAATAAAATGATGTTTGTAAATTGACATGTTGAAAATTAAACACATTACAATAAACACCTATTTTACAATTATTGAATGTGGGTGTACTTTTTTGGGGACACACTGTTATACATATAAATCTCTCTCTCTCTCTCTCTCTCTCTCTCTCTCTCTCTCTCTCTCTCTCTCTCTTTTTCTATGTATGGATAATATATATATAGATATGTGTGTATGTGTCTCTCTCTCTCTCTCTCTCTCTCTCTCTCTCTCTCTCTCTCTCTCTCTCTCTCTATGTATGGATAATATATATAGATATAAATATCTGTGTATATGTGTGTGTGTATGTAGGGAGAGAGGAGGGCTGTAAAAGAATGAGTCTTAAAATTATTGTCTTGATGAGTCTGACTGATTGTTTGTCTTGCTGACTGGTGTAACGATATTCCTCTACACAGTTGATTTCGCAGACAAAGTGATGATGTGTTTGATTTTACGATGACCTGTGCACTCCCGACAATGGCAAGTTTCACATGTCGTGGACATGGCAATCTTCATTATCACAGTAAGATATTGCATCACTAAGCTGACACCCTGCAGCTGACCTCTCACTGCATGAAGCCTGCAGCAATACTTTGTACAATCAAGAGGTTAACTCTCACCTCTGATTGGCCTTCCTGGTCTTAGGTTTTTCCTCATGAAATTCATGCGCTTATGTTGGCGTGCGTGCTTTTGAGCACTTGCCAGTGTTGAGATCCCATTCCAGGAAAAAGGGGTTTCCTTTGGGCATTGTGAAGGCTCTCCACCATTGTGGGTATAGGTGTAAGGCAGGCTATAGGCTACAAAGGGTCATTTCCTGTTGATATCTTCGACTCTCGCAACAGACACACACATGCAAGATGTATGTACTGTTTATACTGTATTTTCGTTCGGCCGCTGGGTAGTTTTTTTTGTTTTTTTTTGTCTGTACGTGAAAGCCTTTGTCCATTTAATAGGCTGCACTTTGTGCCGTTGCCACATCATGTAAAGGCAGTTCATTTTTTGACTTGCTGCAAAAGCAGTGGCCGAGATTCTCCACTTGTGATATGTTGCAGCAGAATTCCATATGCTGCCAGTACCCAGGCTTGCGGAGTTCTACCCCCATCCCGCCCCCGCGGCTGTTGTAATGGAAAAGCAGCAGAGACCATGTGGTGTGGTGCTGGGCCAAGCGGAGTGGTGCGGTGTTGGACTGTTTGGGGCTAATGGAAAAGAAGAATTGTTGCCGCACTTATGGTGTGCACTTTCTGTAGGCATTATTAAATGGCTTAAATTCAGCTAGCGTTTCCAAATATTTATGTAATAGAAAGGAATTGCAATAATGCTATGTTAATCTTAAATATGGTTCTTGTAAAAGGGATATCATACCAGAGATGGGAAATGATTATTGAAAGGCGCATGATGGGAGAGGGAGCTGGAAATGGGGGCGGGACAGAGAAGAAGCAGGGACAATGTCAACAGCTCAGCTCTCAACTCTGTCAGCTGAAAGCCACATCTAAGCACAGAAGTTCAGTGAGCGAAAGCAGACCTAACGCAGCAGTTTTGGCGACAAGAGATCGTAGCATATAGAAATGTCTTGGGAATTTGGCAGAAAGCTAGAAAAGATAAATAAGAAGGAATGCTGGATCCAGCAGTTATCTAAAATCTTGATTTGTTCTCCTTGATTCCACATGGCACAGGAATGATCCATCTCAGCATTTGAAGCGCGTGAGTGAGATTCTTGATCTTGATCTTGAGATTGATACTTGTAAGCTCCTTTCAGTCATTGTGACCAATTGCTCTTTTGTAGTTCTGTTCATTCTTGCAGGGGATTACAGATGCGAAGAGCTGCAGTCGAAAAGTTTTTCTCTTTGCACCACATCTCCATAATCATTCCAGCTGGAGAAAAAAACTACTATTGATACATTGAGCCATTGTAAGAACTCCATTCCAATAATAAAATGCCACCGTTTTATCTTGCTGTGTTTATTGGGTAAGAATGGCCCGGAGCTCATAAACGGTAGCAATTGCAGGGTAGTGAAACACGCAGTTTAATGTTGCACTCTCTCTCCAGAGGTGTTGACATATGTAGACATTTACCTACGTGTGTGGTTGTGTATGAAACCACAAAGCTTTTATGGAGATTTACATTTTTAGCGAAGGTTACATGTTTTGGTAAGTGCTGCACAAAAGAAGCTCGTTTTCATGTCTTGTTGTTGAACAGAGAAGCAAGTGAAGGTCATTTCAAATTGGAATTACGCACTGGGTGGAACTAATTGAATCTGTTTACCCATTCAATACAATTATTTTGTGACATCAACCTGATTGAATCAGTTTAGTAAAAAAAGGGTCCTCATCTCTCATTTTAGCTAGTGAGAATAGAAGCAATTCTTGAATCACTCAAGATAAACTGGAATGCACAATTAGCTGGAACCAGCACATTGGCTGATGAATCAGTCTCAACTAATTTGCGGCTACATCCACAAAGGCATCAACTGTCATCAACTCCTCCAGGCATCATTATTCTGCTCAATACAAAACTCCCGAGAAACAGGATTTCACAACATTCAGAGATTCTTTACTCTTAGACAATCAAGGAAATTTCCATCACTTCTCTCAGTTTCAAAAGCTCATCTGTCAGTCAGGCCACCCTGAGCCATGTTGTGGTGGTCCAAGCAGAACTGGCACTGGCCCTGTGCGTTTGATATAATTTGTGACTTTTTTCAAAAGCTATTTTATATTTCGCATCTTTAGACTGCTGTGTAGTTCGATCATGAGCTAACACCTGGGCTTTATATCTTTTTTTAGCCATTCCTGATGGAATGATTTAATCCGGCGCACAAAAAACGGTGTAGCATGAAAAAAATAAATCAGATGATTCCTCAATTTAAGTGGATCAAACTCAAATATTAAATATTAACTCATTCACTCCCAAAGACATATTTATGTGTCTTTTCACACTCCACACGTTCAACCCAAGATAATTTTTTTTTTTTCAATTTTTCCAAGACTTAGGGTTTAAAAAAATATATATATGGTGTCTAGAATTGGCTGGTACTGAATGAGTTAAATATTAAAAAAATAGAAGGTGCTGATTTCATCATTTATTTATGAAATTAGGACTGGCCTGATTGGGCCGGCATCAGTGAACTTTGAATGCCCTGACGCAGTCACGTAGTGGGCTTGGGCCACCGTTAATGTCGAATCCTGTTCAGCTTATCTGCTCTTGCTTTGAATGCTGATTTTACTTCCATGTTGACTCCTTCCATCTTTCCCCAAAGGTACCCAGATATACAATGGAAGTTCCACTAACATAAACACGCCCTCCCAATTTCCAGGGTTCCACATTTGAAGATGTTTTAAAGTGCCATTTCCTATGTGGAAGCCTTGCCTGTCCCAGTCAGGCCGTCAGCTTAGTGGTAAATCCTCACTGTGTGTCAAATGCATGCCGATGAAAGTTTTATGCATCAGCACTCCAAATTTCCACATATGAAATTGGTTATGGATACCCTTTGTAAGGTTTTCCTTAGTCTGATGTTTTATGGATGGAAAACATTCCACACAGACACCTCAGTTCTTTTTCTTTCGAAGACTTTTACTACGGGTTTTACTTGAATTGGCCGTATGTCTTTACATCTATGAGACAGGTAAAATAATACAAGGCAGAAACAAACACTCTTGTAATTGATTTATTTATTTATTTTTTTTTCCAATAGTTAGATTCAACACAAGCATTATAGTGGGAGTCACATGGTCTCACATCTTGTCCTTGTTATATGTGTGCTTTATGAACTAGGTAATGTGGACGGGTGTTTATTCTCCATTCACGCTTGTGTGCCGAGGGTCAAGCACAGTGACAACAGCTAAAACATGTTGGCAAGGCATCAATTTAGGGTGAGGGCTCACACGTTAGGTGCGCTGCATCCGCTGCTGCCGTCAGCACTCTTGGGTGTGTTCATATTTTATTCATGTATGAAGTGCTCTCTCAGGATTAGTTGGGAGAGCGAGGCGGAGTCACTTTGCTATCGTTAGACCCTTTATCGCATCGACCCCGCTGTTGACTGGCAGCTTAATGACCTTTTCATTAGGACAGCTAAAAAAAAAAAAAAAAAAGAGGGACTATGTCTGAAAAGCTGCTTAAATATTACAATCAGATCATTGGGACCGGATTACCACCATGTTATATTCAACATAAAGTGCTTACAGAATCTGCAGAGCCAAACTCTTGAGATACTGGAAGAAATGATGCATGCCCTGCCTCTGTCCTTCATGGGAAGTGGCCACATTGACTGGCACTATTGTGCCTGTGACACACTTTCGAGGGCTTATGATGTGTAAGCATATCTCCTCTTCACAGTGCCTCAATTCAGTGTTATATTACTTCAGGCTATTTAAAAAAAACTGCTGGTCCCCTCATAGGGCTAGCCGTAATTGTGTGCCTAAAACGGTCCTAGTCGAGCATTCCAGACATTACCCAGAAGCCCCTTGTCCTCTGTTTCAGCTGTTGACCTCATACAAGCAGTATTAATAGCTTCATGAATGCAGGGTAGTCATCATTTCATGACATGGAAAAATTTTTTTTTTTTTTTTTGCTAGAGGACTTGAAGGGGAGCAATGTCAACTCGTTTCTAAGATATAAGGAATGAAACCAGCAAATTTTTCATAATCATGAAAAAAAAATTTTTTTTTAAGTCCGATATGTATTTTTACTACCCAAAATGTATTTTGAGGCACCGATTATTTCGTGGTTCATTCGTTTGATCTCTCTGAAGACAGGGTGGGTTCAGTTCCCATTCTGTCATTCGTTGTCACTTCTATATTTCTGTGATTGATGAGTGACGAGTCATCTTTGTAGTGCCCGTTTCGCATGGTATTGACCCTGTAGACCAGCGGTCCCCAAACTTTTTCCTGTGAGGGCCGCATAAGCTTTCGCTTCTGTGATGGGGGGGCCGGGGTCAGTCTGGAACAGAAAAAGGGTGACCGCAAGAGTACGGAAATGTAAAAATGGATTGTTTTCCAGAAACCCACACAAAATGAAGCCGCCACTTGACAGATGAGACTGACAGACGTTTCTTTGCGCTGAAAGAAACAAAAACATCGTTTGTCCACTTTGGGTTAAATACCCTGCATTCTATTTTTCTCTTACCGAACCTTTTCGCCATGATCCCGTTCTCTGAGAGAGGGGCCGGTTTCGGATTTTTTTTTTCTGGCGTAGCCAGATAACGGCACAGAAAGATGCACCAAATGTCACCTTATTGTATCTGTGTTTATGAAATAGTTACTAATTAATAGTTAATAATGAAAACGGTTCAGAACTAAGGAACATTTTATTGCAAAAGCCCAACTTTATGATCAAAGACAAATCCACATCGATGAAAAATAAATCAAAATACTCTGTGGTATTTTCAGGGGGCCGGACCAAATGCGGAGGCGGGCCGGATACGCCGCCCAGGCCGTAGTTTGGGGACCACTGCTGTAGACAATAAGTGGCATGGAAAAGGGATGGATGGATGGATGGATGGATGGATGGATGATTTCTCCAACAGTGTAATTTGGCAGCGAGAACAAATGCTCGATTTAAATAATGTTTAGTTTGTTGGCCACGCAGCATTCTTTAAAATTTGTTAGCCAGCTCAAATATTGCATTCATGCGAACAAAATTCTTTTACCACAAAATGTATTTGACTTGGTGTAGAACACATGGCTGTAGTGATGCCCCCGCCCCATGGAATACAAACCGTTTCATCTAGCAAAGGTTATAATTCTGGGGTTGGATATTTCAGAAAAAAAATGATGCCAAGGATTACATTTCACCGTAACGTGTTGCAATGTTGGTGCCTTTGAAATGTAGTGAATGAATAGTAATGCTCGTGATCTGGTTTGAATTATGAGTAAAGGGTGTGAATTTGCAAAGATAAAGCACAAAGGATTGCATTCGTGAAGGTTTTCTTCAACGTTATTTTCCAGTGTACATGTGCGTTTTGTTCTGACATCTTGTCAGCGGGTTTCAGCGAGTGAAGACTTGCCTCTCATCAGTTTCTTCCAACTGCAACTGTTCAATTTAATATAATACTCTTTTTGGCACATCAAAGCAAAACATCTAAACGCACAATGCCACAAAGCCTTGTACTTCTTGTGGTCTATGCGGTCATGACCACTCCACACACCAGGAAATTACCTTTTTTTTTTTTTTTGACGAATCAAACCAAATTAAACTGCTATTAAAGACATCCCCCAAGGATTAGAAACATATATCCACCCTCCTCTTTTTCCAGTGGTTTGGCATTTCGTTTTCATTCGTGAGGTGGCCTACTGTGCTTCTCTGCCCTGTTAAAACCAGCAATGCTTGTTTGTTTTGATGTCGGCTGGAATCAAACAAGACCTCGGAGAATTCTCAGAAGCTGGCTGTGAAACAGGCAGTTAAATGTCTTAGGGTTTGATATTGAAAGCAAATCCCAGATAGTAAGCAGACGTTTTGCACATTTTCAACATGAGTCTGTTTGAAATTTGACAATGCTGATATTTTTGGTCACCTTGAAGAGCTTTGTCTAGATCAATGGTTCTTAACCTTGTTAGAAGTTCATATGCACATTCACAGAACCCATCATGAGTGAAAAACAAAAAATATGAGTTTATACAAATTCAAGGTATAAAAAAAAACTCCCAAAAAAATCTCCCGCAGCACTGATTGGACAAGCAATGTAATGTGATCATCTGCAGCCAGTGATGGCC